AGAAAAAGTTCTGTCTTAAGAGGGTAGATTTCCTGAAAAATATCCAATCACTGACAGTGTTTTATATACAGCTCAGCCCAGCTATCGGGGCCAGATCATTAAGGATGTTTGTTTGTTAAGTTTGTTTGTTTGAGTTTATTTGGAGATCATTGTTGATTCCCGTGGTTCATATTTTCGTTCTCTGAGGTCAGTGATTAGAGAGGGTTGTTAGTGTTGTCTTGTTGTTTCCTGATCGTGCTCAGGTTTTATCCACTGTGCGTGTTCTGTTCCTGTTTTGCCTCTTTGTAGGGAGCTAGTTTAAAATTCTGCAGTTTTCCTGGTGTCGTGTCTTGTTCTGCCTCTCAACTGCTGAGGCTAACTGTTTTCCACCTGACCCTGTCTGCCTGAACTATCAGCTGGACTCATGGAACCCTGAACCTGCCTGAACGCTCTGTGGATTTTTGGAACCTTGATTCTGTCTGTTCCTGTTCTGATCGGAACCCCTGACCCGGATGCGGACTCCTGGATCTCAGAACCGTCCTGTTCTGAACTGTTGAATTTTTCAGACTTCTGCCTGTTTACAAAAGCTGCTGCATTGGGGACACTCTCACCGCATCTCATTTGGCAGTCCACCGGCTGGATCCTGCCTCATTCTTAGGATTGAACTGTTAAACCAGGTAAGTGACTCACTTGGATAATCATCTTCCATCAGATTATCTTGGTCACTTACCTGTGTTTCTCTCCCTAACCAGAGTGCCAGTGATGAGTGGTGCCCCGCTTCCACCCACGGCCGCTGCAGATCCACAGCTCCACTTATCTTCGTTCTGCTGTTAATAAACATTTTGATCTTTCCCACTATGTCTCACCTCAAATTCTGGGTCCTACTTTCTGGTTTCTTTACAGACGGCCTATTTTCTCAGGTTGGTTCGACCGCCAAAGTGACAAAGTTAACATGAAATAGAAACAGGTCCAAATGTGATTTAGAGAGAATTTACTGTAGAGTAGAAAGCAAGAGAGTAGAGAAAGAGGATAACCTCATGGTTGTAATTGGGTAACTTGACTCCGCCAGATGGATTTGCTCCGCATATCCATCTGGAAACCTTCCGTAGAAGTAATTTTGGGAAGGTGCGAAAATACTGGTTAGCTGATTGGCCTATGTTGGTGATAGACGGGCCAAATAAATCAGTCAGATCAACGAAGCATATGACGTACTAACAGAGCGACGATGAAGAGGAGCCAATTGATAGATCAAACTCTTGCCGAAACCAGTCGGGAGAAGAGCAAAAACATCTTTTCCTCTGAGAAAAGCCTCCAGAGCAGTGTTTTGCTCTTCTTTCAGTGAATAAATACAATGTTATTCCGACGCTGATTGGACGTTCGTTTGGTGAACGGCTCCAAATTTTCTTCAACGGAGAGTCTCCAGACTGATTAGTGAGTGAAATTTTGAAAGCTCGCAAGATCAGGATGGTCTCATGAGGCTAGTAATTGGGGGCCTCATGGTATTGAATCCGCACTCATAAAACATTTGTAAAGTGCATGCAGAGTTGTTAACGTGAGTTTGTTTTAAAGAATAATTTTCATATCAACATTTATTACTGTTGTGCACCTTTGTCAGTATTCTGACTTCATATATGAGCTGGATGAGAAAAGGAGCTCCTGAGATACAAGCCTGATATTCCTCCTCACTTATGGTCCTTTCTGATACAGATTGGGGATGCAGGGAAAAAAGTAGAAAGCTTTTTGTTTTGTTTTTTTCAATGTATCTGTACAGAACCCATCTATTATCATAGAAAGTGCCTGCAGTTAAGAGAGAAAAGAAGAAAAAGTCAGTAAATTACAACATGTGGCCAGCACTTAATGCCAAGCTGTGTCTTCAGCTGAACCTCTCCCCTTCTGACTTATACAACTTGCTTTCCTACACAGCAAATCATTTTCAGCAGATCCGAGATGTTTTGGAAGATCATTGGCCGCAATTTTATAAAATGATTTGTCCAAGGATGATAAAGGTTTTAAACTGGCATTTTCTCCAACAAGGACTAAAATTTTCCTGTCATGTCACAAACCAAAATATCAGGAAAATAACACTTTGATGCTTTTGCTGTAATGTTTATTGCAATCGTTTTTGGTATTTCTTTTATAAACATGTCCTGTCTGACAGTGTAGCACTAGGAATTGTCGTCTCAGTGCCAAAGAGAAGCTCAGCAGTTTAACTTCCTCTCATGATCCCAGTGTTAGTTTGTCTTCTATTTATAGGTTTTCTGCAGATTCTGTTTGTTTTTAGGTTTTTTAATCTTATTGTTTCATCACTTGTGGTGATTTTAAAATTTCTTTAAAACATTTTATTTTTTTAAATTGAGTATTCCAGATCCCATTCTCTTTACTTTTGGGCGGGCTTTTCTTTGGAATGACACATTTCTATGGGTCTAATGGATGTTGAAAATAAAATTTTTGTTGGTAAATGTGTGCATGAGGAGCAAGCATTTGTACTGGGATTCAAATGAAAATTAACTTTAAATGCAATATAATAAAGTAGGACTTCTTTTTAAAAGATTAAATAAAAAAATTTGAGAATAGAAAAGTTACTTCTAAAAACAACATAAAAAAACAGGGAAAAAAAACATGCTCCTTGCTTGCAACAATATTAGAATTAAATTCACTCCATTCACTGCTTGATTTTTATTTTTATGCAACAAACTTTATTGGGCTTCATTTTGGGATTATTTCAAATGTAATAGACACAGAACAGAAAAAGGGCACAAAAAAAAGGGACAAATGCGAGCAAATATGTTAAAAGACTGAGAAATGAAATAAAAATGTGGAGAGAAACAAGAAACATCCTGGATGTCTGGTTCTATATCTGCATAGAGAGAAACAACACCACAAACAGAAAATCAAAGAAATGAACGATGTGCTCAGTAGCAGCTGCAGCCAACTATGGGAGTCATCTGATGTATAAACAGCTGAATCTAAAAACCTGTCAACCTATATCAGAGGTTTACCCAGCAAACTATCATTTTAAATGATAACTAAACTAAAATAACTTAGAAATCTATAAAATTTAGACGGTTATTTTATTCTTTAATGAAGGGATGTAGAATATTTAAACAACTAGATCATTTGCATGCTTCTCAGAAGAACAGGCAGTCACTATTCTCTACGCTCATCTGATTTTTGTCCATCTGCAGGTTCCTCACGTTCAGACAGACTTTTAAAAGCCTGTTTTAGTCATTCTGCTCCTGCTCCCTTGAAAATGCTTCAAACTAAACTAAGATTGTCTAAACTTCCTATTTAAAGGAATAGTACACCCAAAACATGATTAGCCTTCATTTTCTACTCACCCCCATGCTGAA